CGCAGCAGCCACCAGGAAGCCGATGTACTTCATCGCCAGGCGGAGCACCTCGTTCTTGCTCAGCTTCCGGTCGGGAGGGTGCGTGGGCAGCAGCTTCCTGAGCTCCATGAAGGCGCCGTTCACGTTCTGTTGCCGCCAGCGCTCGCGACTGTTGGTGAACACACGCCGGGCCACCTTCTGGGGCTGCTGCCCTGCACGCAGGAGGGGAGGGGTTGGCACCGAGGTGGCGCCCCCTGCTGCCCTCACTTCAGGCACCCAGCACCCTAGTGGGGACTTCCACACAGGAGGTGAGCGGGGGCTTTCTCCACGCCAGGGATGCACGTGTAGGACCCACCACGTGGCTCCCCGGCTAGTTAGCAGCCCTGCCCGCCCCCCACCTCCACCATCTAGACAAGGATAGACTGGGCTGCACAGAACTGTGGCCTCTGAGCCGCTGGCTGCACCTTTATGTCCGTGGCTGAGATTGCCTAGCGGAATGTTTCCTTGCCGCTGCCAGTCTGGGGAGCTGGCCCTATAGTCTTCATTCTGAGTGTGTCCCTGTGTGTGACCCGAGAAGTACCCGTATTGTGATTGTGGTCCTGTCCGTGTCTTAGGTGGTTGTGTGACTTGTGGTCTGTCTGAATGGCTGTGGTGGTGTGTGATCGTTGCCATGTGGCTGTGTCATGCCTGGCTGTGGTTGTGTGGCTGATTCTTGTGTGGCCATGGTCCTAAGTGGCTGTGGTTGTCTGTGTCCTGTGTGGTTGTGGTCCCATGGCTGTCTCTTGCATGATGGTTGTCATGTGGCTGCTTCCTGGGTGGCTGTGCATCCAAGTGGAGCTGTCATTTTGTGGCCCCTGTGCCAGGCTGTGTTTGCCAGGACTCTTTGTAGTTTGTTTGGGTGACTGGTTGTGTGGGACAGGCTATAGGACTGTGGTTTTGCACAGGAGTATAACATGAGTACTGAGCCCGTGTGGGCTGTTCTGTGTGTGTCTGTGCCCTGGCAGCACCTCTCCCTGTGGAAAGGCGTGGGACTGACGTGGACCCCATGCAGACACAAACTCATACTCACCCTCAGCCAGCTCCAGCTCACAGTGGCTCGGTCTCCGCTTCAGCCGACTGCTAGGGAAGATGCTAAAAGGTCCTGCCGGCCCAATGTAGAGGCTGTAAGGGTTCATGGGTCACTAATGCCTTGTGGGCAAGGACCCTGGCCCTGGATTGCCCCCAGGCCCAGCCCCCCACTAACCTGTTGAGGAAGGGGTGAGGATGGTAATGCAGGGCCAGAGGGGTTGGGGCACTTCCCAGGGCGGAGAATTGCAGCAGTGGGGGCCGAAGGGCACTCTGCTCTGTGGTGGCCATGGCTGCCCCTGGGGGCCTAGTGTGGCCCAAGCTGATCACCGGGACACCAGGGGGCAGCCTGGGGGATGAGACACCTTGGTGGCCCACCTCCTCTGCCTTTGGGAGCCCAGGGGAGGCAGGCTTGGGGAGTGGCGCAGGCACTGGGCTGGGGGCACACACCATCTCAGCCTTCTCAGTCATGGTGGGGGCCACCTCTGCCTGGGCTTGGGGCGGGCACATGGACCCCGAGGGGGTGCTCACCTGTGGAAGGGAAGGAAGCCAGTGGGAGGATGAATCAAATGCCACACACACCCTTAGCCCAACAGAGCCCTCAAATGGAAGGGATAGTGGAGGGGGGGGCGGGGGGAGGCCCAGAAACTACCAGAACATGGAGGATCTGATGCCCACTGAGATGCTGTGCAGTGATGAGCCCAGCAGTGTCGTCTCTGAGCTGTTTGTGACCCATGAGGGCATGAGCAAATTCCCTTCCTCCAGAATCCCCTCACCTGGAGTCCGGAGGGAGGGGCAAGGCAGGGTAGCCATGATGGGCCCTGAGACCCTTAGACCTGACCCTAACACCCTTCATTGACACAGCGTGTCCTTGGAATCCCTACATGATTGACTCTGACCTTTCACTGACCTCCCGCCTCCTGCCCGGGCCCACCCTGTGGTCCTCATCTAGGACCCCGAGGCTCTTCCCATTGCCTCCCAGTCAGACCCTGAAAGTCTTCCATAATCTCTCGTGTGTGATATTGTCTCTGTATCACATGTAATGTGTGATATTGTCTCTGTAACAGCTTTTTAAGATAAAGAGCTAAGTCTCATTCTTCTCTTGATCCCCATGCAGAAAACAAAGAGACTTATCAGATACTCAGTAAATTCTCATTTTATGAGTAGACTACAGAGGTCATTATGAAAACTTTAAGTCAACAGTGTTCAGTCAGAGCCCACCCCCCCCCCCCCCCCCCCCCCCCGCCACACACACACACTGAAAATGTCCCCCTCACTAATCCTGCAACCCCATTGCTGACACTATGATGCCAAATGCTGGCTCTGGCCAGTACATACAGTCATGCCTCAATCTTCCTTCTGGCCCTGGTGACCCCCCACCTGCCCCACACATCAGTATCCACCTCTTTACACCCTATTTAGATATCCCTGTCACTCTTGGCCCATGGCCTGGAGGGCCCCAGCAACATCAGGGACACCTGGGCCCTCTTCCCTGTCTTCCCCAGCTGGGTCCTGGGGAAGCTGGCCTGGCCTCTTAGTTGGTTCCTACAGATGAATGAATGAAGGAAGGCGGGAACGAATGAATGAATGCAGGTGGGTTGGGAATCCCCCCACCTTCAGGCTGCTCGCTCTTACCCCAGCGCTGGTCCTGCTGCCTGCTGAGTCCCCTGGCTCTGTCGGTCAGGGCAGGAATATGGCTCCAGCTTCAGGCCAGGCTCCCCGGCCCTGCGGCCTCCAGCCTCTCCACTCTACCCCAGGCAGCCAGCCACTCTGTCTGGGCTTCACTTCTTTCTGGGCTCTCAAGGGCCTTGGGGCCTCGGTGGTGGCAGCAGCATGGGTCCCTCGAGGAAAAGTGAGCAGCTCAGGGGCCGGCCGGCCCGCCCTCTCCCCGCCCCCCCGGTGGCCGGTTTCCTCCCTCTTACCCCTGGCGCAGTGGCTGGAGGATGCTGGGCCAGCGCAGATAAGGGCCTGGCCGCCTGGCCCAGACTGATAAGGAGCCAGGCTGACCCCGGAGGAAACCAGCGGGCGGGGATCTCCAAGATCGGCCTCTCGCCCCGCCCCGGCCAGTGGGCAGGACTGTCAGTGACCCCTCCGGGCTTCACCTTCCGTCCTCTCAGTCCCTGGAAGGACCCTGGCCCTCTGAGGACCAGCCCCAGTGCACAGCTACACACAGAGGGGAAATTGAGGCAGGAAAGCGGTGGCCTCCTGTGTGGTTGGATCTGGCCTGTGGCTTTGAACACCCCAGCTGTGTCCGTGCTTGTTGGGGGTGGGGAGCCCTTTCCGGCCCTGCTGGGGCTCGTGACTGGGGGCCCCCTTCTTCTTCTCTCCTCCCCCTGCCTGGTTCCTCTTTTTACAGATCCCCTCCCAGCCTTTCTGCCACCCCCACCCTGGAGGGAGGCATGGCAGAGGGCAGTCCTGACACTCCGATCTTGGGTGTCCAGCCTGGGTGGTTGTCCTGGTCCCCCCTGTGCTATCACTCCACCTTTCAAGGTGACAGGAAAGGCTACAGCTGGGGGAGATTTCCTATATTGCTAGAACCTTCCAATAGGTGCCCCAGCAAGTCCCCACAATCCTAGTTCTCTAGGTCATAGGATAGCATAACCCCAGCTCGGTGGCCCCTGGCCCTCATCCCAGAGCCAGGCCACTGCAGGGTGAATGGTGATAGAGGTGTTGGGTGAATGTCCTGGGTGGTGAGGGGTAGCAGTGACAAGGCTGTTCCTGGTCCCCAGCACCCGCTCACCTGGGTCAGTTGTGCTCCGTCTATCTAGGTGGCTGCATGAGCTCCCAGGCAGGCCCTCAGCTGTCACCTTCCAGGAATCAGGTGATTTCAGGACCCCACCACCAACCATCCCACTTTCCCAAGGAAGCAAGGGTCCACTTCTAAGCTCCCAGTGAACTTTGATGTGCCCACAAGGCCAGTTCTGGGATCAGGTTCATTTAACTCTTGAGATGGAGCAAGGTGCAGGGTGCCTGCGGGTCCCACTGCTACCGTGTGGCAGGGTGGGGGCTTTGCCCCAGGCCTCGCTGTTAACGTTGCTAAGGCCTGCCCTTGTGGGGAGGATGCAGGAGCCTGCCTGGTGCCTCTATGTGCCCCCCCCCGCCTCGAGGGGCCACAGGGCAGGAAACACCTGGTCTGGAGCGGATGCACAAGGAGCCTGGTTCCGGTCTGGCTTCCGCCACCACGGCCCTGCGGGGAGCTGGGCCAGAGAAACCAGGCAGCCAGGGCTGGCGGCGAGAGGCCACGTGGGAGCTTGGTGGCACCGGCGTGTGCGCGCGCCTATATTCAGGAGCACGCCAGTGGAGGGGGGTGCGGGGGAAGGCCCCGTGGGTACGAGCGCGCGGCTGCCACCCCGTGGCCGCTTGGGGGAAAGCAAGCGCCAGCAACCGGGCGCCTAAGTGCTTCTTGCTGTAGAGCAGTGGTTCTCAACCTTCCTAATGCCGCGACCCTGTAATACAGTTCCTCATGTTGTGGTGACCCCAAACCATAAAATTATTTTCGTTGCTACTTCATAACTGTAATGTTGCTACTGTTATGAATCGTCATGTAAATATCTGATATGCAGGATGTATTTTCATTGTTACAAATTGAACATAATTAAAGCATAGTGATTAATCACAAAAACAATATGTAATTATATATGTGTTTTCCGATGGTCTTAGGCGACCCCTGTGAAAGGGTCGTTCGACCCCCAAAGGGGTCGCGACCCACAGGTTGAGAACCGCTGCTGTAGAGGAACAGACCACTCCCCACACAGACAGAACGCCTCAGACAGAAACACTGACACCACCTCCCTCAGTCAGGCAGGGACACACCAACCTCTAGATGCAGAGCTCCCCCAGGGAGTTAATTCAGATGGACAGAGGAACAGGCCTCAGACATGCTAGACAGATAGACCACCAGCAGCTTCTGCACTCAGACAAATGACAGGGCAAGGTGAAATCTCTTTATTGGCTCAATCTACACCTGGACCAGTGGTGGCCCCAGACCCAGGGGGCTTCTGGTTGGGGGTCTGTGGACAGTCGGTGGGGGCAGCTTCAGCAGTGGCCTCAGGTGTCAGGGGTCTGTGGGAGTAACAGCACTGGTCCCCCCGCTGGCAGGTGCCCTGGTGGAAAGATGATGGATATGAAGCCCAGCAGCCTCTGCTGGGTTCCTTTCCTGGATGGGGAGCTCACTCGCATACACTTGCCCATCCCGTTTTCCCATCCCTGCCTGCCCCTTAGCCTTGCCCTATTGCCACAAGGGGGACCCATGTGTACTGCAGTTGGAGGTGGGGGGTGCCTCACCTTCTTAAACCTCTTGCAAGGAAACGTCTTAAGCCGTGCAGCCCGCTGGGCCAGGTCCTCAGCTGGTTCCTTTCTCTTATTCTGGAGCAATCTGCGTCTGTCCTCCATAGCTTCGCCCACTGCCTTACCCCTGTGCAGGGAGATGAGCAGCTGGGACCCCATCAGGCCTCTGCACCCCAGGCCCTGGACAAATCCCACTGCCATCACTCTCACTCACCCTGGCCGGGCACGGGGTCGGGGGCCCCAGTTGGCCTCGGGGTTGGCCTGGAAGCGCTTGAGTCCTCGCTGGCGGGAGCTGGGGTTGGCATCATCCCGGATGGTGAAGTTGGCCTGTAGCCTGGAGAAGGGGGTGGTGCAGCTGAGGGGCAGCCACCACTCGGACATGCACAACAAAACTGCCCATGGGGCCTGCCCGCCTTGGTGACTTGGGAAGGCACCTGCCTGGGTCAGGATTCTCTCACTCATTTAATAAACATTTATTGTTGCCTACAGTGTACCTGAAATCTGCCGCTGGTAAAGCTGACATTCTAGTGTACAAGACAAACAAGCAATGGGACAAATCAGAAATCAGCAAGTTATGTTTCGTTAGGGCATGAGAAGAGTTTTGAAAAGAAGAGAGCAGGGCAGAGGTTCTGGGGAGACTGAGGAAGGGGTTCAATGCAGGACAGGACAGAGTCAGGGACACCTGAAGGAGGTGAGGGAACAGTCCTGGGGGCACTCAGGGACAGGCATTCCAGGTAGAGGGAACAGCCTGTGCAAAGGCCCTGAGATGGGGCTGTGGCTCATGAGCTTGAGTGAGGGGGCCAGTGTGGAGTGAGCCAGGGGGGAGGGGGGGATAATTGAGGGCTGGAAAGTGACACGGAAATGGGGCAGGGCTTGCAGGTGGAACTCTGTTTCTGCTGAGCAGAGGGGGAACATGATCTAACTCAGGTGCTCACAGGCGCCCTCTGGTAGCTGTGGGGGGAACAGTCTGTGGGGGGTGAGGGTGGGAGCTGGGGAACCAGGGCTGAGGTGACCACACTGGTCTGTGTGAGCAGTGATGGGCCAGACTAGGGTGGGGGCAGAGGAGAAGCGGTAGAAGTGGTGGGAGAAGGTAGATTCTGGATCTCACTTGAAGAATGAACATGTATCTGTTAGGGAAGTGTCTGGGCCGTCTGCAAGCATGTGAGCATCCATGCCTGTGGCAGAGATGTCCCTACCTGGGCTCCACACTGAGAATGCGGAAGGCCGGGCTGGTCTCAGACAGCCGCTCTCGTTTCACCGGGCACTGCTTCTCCTGGGAGGCAAAGGTCAGGGGCCAGGGGATGCCAAGCCTGCCCATGCCTTGCCCTCTTATCCCTATCTAGTCAGGCCAGCTCTTACCCAGCAGCGCATGATGTCCCAGAGGGCTGAGGCGGGGGCGTCCGTCTTCACAGCATTCTTACAGGCGTGGGAGAGCGAGACCTGGAAGCCAGCATGGAGGAGGGCTGACCTGGGACCAAGAGGGGTTGTGAGGGGCAAGCTAGATCCCAAAGCCAGTGATGACATGTGTGGGTGGGAGTCATGGTGAGTTGTGAGGCTGGCTGCATGTCTCAGGGCGACTATGTAGCTGGTTTAATGCCAATGACTGGAACAGTCAGACTGTCCCCCTGGCCAGGGCTCTTGGCCTCTGAGCACTTGTACATGAGACTCCCTGGACGTGAGTGAAGTTTGATCTCCATTTTACGGGGGATTCTGGCCCAAAAGGGGCCCAAGTTGCCCAGGGCACCCAGCACTCAGGCTCTGCTCCTCCCCCACCCAGCCCTCACCGCAGCTGCAGGAGGCTGGGTGTGCTACAGTGGATGGTGCTGCTCAGCTGGTCCAGCGTATAGTACAGAGGCACGTCCGGCAGCTCCTGCCATGGGGGACAACAGGATATGCATGGGGCAGATGGAGGAAGCTGGGCACAGGTGAGCCCCATCCTGTTTTGGCCCAGCCCCTACCTCGGTGACGACGCTCAGGACTCCTCGGATCCGCTCCGAAGTATGGAATCGGCCGGGGTTGGTGCTCACAGCCTCTAGGACACGGCCCACAAAATCCAGGTCATGGATTGGCTCCACCCATAGGGGGCCACCGAGCTGCAGACACACAGGGGCCAGATGGACAAGGAGTGAGACACGAGGACCCTTGAGACCCCATGCCTAAACCCGGCATGGTCCCACCTGGTGCCGCTGCCCACAGTGCTCACACTCGGGGGCCACAGGGGGACCGCAGGCTGCAGAGAACTTGACCCTGCACAGAGAGAGGAGTTTAGGGGGCAACCACACCCCTTGGGAACCCCTCACCTCCCTCCTGGCTCACTGTTGCTCACCGGCCACCAGGGGCCCCCGATGCTTTGCCAAGGCGCTGAAGGTGGAAGGCTCCGCAGCCCACACACTGGAACACCAGCGCCTGCTTGCTGTGGGGAAACAGGGCTGGCTACCACACCCCAACCCTTTCCTCAGGGTGACCTGGTCCCCTGTTGGACCTCACTTCCACAGGGGAAGGCTCTGTTGCCTGCTCCAGTGCCTGCCCCACCCCTGCTAACCTGGCTGAAGCCTTGACCTTGGCCTGGCCGGTGAAGACACGAACAAAAACACGTATGTAGAAATCAGCGCTGATGCTGAGCAGGGGCACCACGAAGCGCTGATAGCAGTTAGCACGGAGGTCCAGGCTGTGTAGGACGATCCTCAGGGCCTGGGGGTGAGAAGCGGGGGTGGGCGTCTGCCATCAGCCCTGCCTCTGAACAAGGTGTTCACAGCACAGGGTCCAGGTAGGTTCCGTGGGGGCCAAGTCCAGCCCTGAGTACTCTGACTTGTGGCCCTTGGCGACTGCTCAGTTCCCTCACCGGTGAAGCTGCACCGGTCTCTGCCTCTATGGCCCTGCTGGGAGCACTAAGTGACTTAGGAACATTCGGGCCCGTAAGTGGAATCTCTCCGATTAGCATCATCAACATGCCCTGTGCTGCGACGTGGCCACAAGGACCTTAGTCCGGCCACCACGGCTCTGTCGGCAGGAAGTGGGGACACTGGGTGCTGCAGCATGGCTGGGACCTCTCCATGCTGGGGAGCTGCCATGACAGTCTACCCAGAAAAAGAGGCAGCGTTTCCCAGGCTGACCTGTGACAGGGCCCATAAGGAAGAGGATGGAACCTCTCCTTTCCCTGCCCATTGACGTAGCCTGCCCGCCTTCCTGAATCCCCACAGCAACCCAGTGGTGCCCAGGCCACCTTCAGCATGCCCATTTCACAAATGCCAAAACTGAGGCCCAGAAAGGGGAAGCTGCTTGCTCAAAGCTACCAGCAAAGTTAGGACTTGAACCCAGACCTGGAAAAACTGCCTTAAAGAGGCAATTTTGCAAAGTTGTTAAAACAGAGACTAGAAAGAATGGTGTAATCATTGCTCCTACCCTGGACGAAACCATTGCCCCCCACATGACCATGACTGGCAGCCCATGCTGTTAGGAACTATGCTGGTTAAAGGTGTGCTTGTCGTTAATATGCTGCCTGGAGGAAGCTGAACGGGTCTGAGGGGTGGGAAGGGGTGCGGGGGGAGGGTCCTCACCATCTCGTGGCAGGCCCGGCTCTTGAGGGCCATGGCCCCGTACTTGCTGTAGCATGTCTCCCCGCTGTTCCCTGCCAGCACTGCCATGTCCGTGCAGGTAACGCACAGCAACC